TCAGAACGGTCAACTCGTTAAGGCAGCTCCGTATTATCGCGACGCTTTTCTTTTGTTCTACTCGAGAAATGGTATTGGTTACGAACCGCGGTGAATGCACTTGTGTGCTTACGCGCGCGAATATCTTTTCAAAGACGGCTGGCGGTCAACCGTATCGGGGTTACATTTATACGAAACAAGGACGCGTAATCTCGTAAGAAATGTATAGTATACGTACGCTGTTTGTTGTTACAAATAACGATCAGTTGGAGCGAAGGCTGATTAAACTGTACGACAGATAGAAGAGAAAGAGGCAAGGTAAGAGCATTTCCAAAAATTATTCCTAACAACTACGACGTGTCGTGTATTGTGTGTGCGCGCGCAGGTTACACGATACGCGTAGAACGGAGTACATAAGGAGAAAAAGAAGTTGGCGTAATTAATTTTCGAGCGTTACGTTCTCTCGATTCGGGAGCACGAAAGTTCTAAGACGGAAGTTCGTCCAAGGTAGAGCAGTTTAGTTTAGAACATACGTTACTTAGACGACGCTATTACGCGCGCCTGAAATTCTCCTTCTCCCTCTTCCTCCCACCACTTTCTCACTCTCCTTCTCTCTCTTTCACCTCGTAATTTCGCGCGTTATATCTTCCATTCGCATTAGGATCCGGGAGTTGTCCCTGTAACCTCAGAGTAGGGCCTGTACACGTCACTTTAATTATTTGAGTTACATTAGCAAGTTAGCAAGGTTTAACAACTGGAAAATGGGTTCCGGCGCGCATACTACAGCGGACAGTTGCCCCGTAGTTACTCGTAATACAGTTCGCGAAACTGCGACCAAGGTATCTTATCTTCCCCACGACTTTTTTCCCCCGATAAGGATACACACGAACAACAGGATGGACCGAATATGCTCGTGAATTCACGGAGAATGGCAAAATCGTCGGCGATTAGGTAAAAGTGAAAGTTAACGATCCACTCGGAGCTGAAAATTTCTCCTCGTATTTCGGGAAATTTCAGGCGAGATATAATTTGTCGCTGTTGAACCTGGGCAAAAGGAAGTCTCGAGTCTTTATCGATGTTCGAAATAGGACGCTGCAGTTTCCTCGGATTCGTTGTTAATCGCTCAGCTCTCGTTCGGGAGAAGATGGTTCTATTTATCAGAAATGACGGGAATTGGAAATGTGGGTCGGGTGTGTCAGGATACGCAGAGGCGGGGCAAATTCGGTAGCGTAAAATATAGAGAAGGACGAAGGGCAAATGCAAAGGACAAAGGAATAGCACTCTCGAAATTCACGCGTGTCTCGAATAAGAACGCGCGATTTTGCGCGAATTATAGAAATCCACGGTTAACGGGGAACGTTTCGTCAAGAGGATGATCATCGAAAGATCAGATATTTCGAGGCTTCGCTCGCTCGGTTGCTAGCGTGCATTTATTCACGATTCACCTCCGCGCGATGCATACGCATAGGTTAGGTATACTACACGCTCGCGCGAGCGCGTGCACACACGCACAAGAGGCACGTTTTCCTTTCGTCGAACACGAAATTTGCGTTGTTGCATTCGCGTCGCCTGGCGGACGAAAACGTTTCGAGAGAAACTATCCTTGACCCGGTGTTCGTTCTCGCATCCGTTGACCGTCTTCTCTCCGTCGAAGCGGACTTCTTTTAGATTAACAATGCAATATCGCCAAGGATGAATTTTCAAACGCGGCCTATATTCCAGGAAAGAACGACGTTGATTGGTTGGGCGGAGCAGGTCCAGTACAGAGATGAACGTCGCGTATGCACATGAATACTTACTTACACACGTATCGACGAGACGATTTTAGTTGGATAGCGTTAGGGGCGCGGCAACGAAACGAGTGCGTGATCGAGCGAAGTTACAGGATTGTCGAAACTGACAGAAAGAAGTGGAATTATCGCGATGCGAAGTAAGAAGTACGTAGGTAGGTTCCCGCGTGATTTCGATTAACGTCACCGGCACGGAAAGCCAACGCGAGAAATCGAAACTGCTCAGGACGGTCGACGACGTTCGAGCGTAACGGGCCAAGGGATCTCGACTTATCGTCGCTTATCTTCCAAGTGAACGGCCGAGGCGACTCATTTCCAGGAAACTGGCGCTCCTTCGCGTCCATTCGGCGACAGAGATCCAGACTTTTCCTACTTTCTCTCGTGGAACCGGCAGTCGGTGTACACGCGCGCTCGACGAACCGTGACGCGTTCCAGTGAACTTTCACCTTGGCATTTCTAGTTTGGCCAACGGTCACAGGAGCGGGTCGAAAATGTTCGATTCACGGGCGTTCTATCGGAATGGGAATTGCAACGGCTTCTAAATTCAACACCAGGCCAGGCCTTCCTCTCGGTCTCTTAATTTTAACAGCGTATTAGCGACCGGAGGCGTGTAACGTCACCGAATTTTCACGCGCCAACGCTACTCGACCTAAATACTCGTTTAAGCTCCGTGGAATTTTATTAGAGTGGAACTCGGTTGCGTCACCGGCCGTTCTTTTTTTCTTTTTTTCTCTCGCTACTTAATAACAGCGAGGAGGAATAATTGGGAAATGAGGAGGTAAGGGTTTCACGCAACATTTGAGCCCGGCGACGTGTCACGTAGGATGGTCGGACGCGCTGATTCCCATGTATCCGGTTGAAACGGAGCGAATCCACGGGCACGCTATTGTAATTTCACTTGTAACGACGACCGCGACGGAGAGTGACGGTTACGTGGTTGTTCGACCACGGTTACAATTAGACCCCCCCCCGGGTGAAACGGGTGAAACGGGTGAAAGTGGTCGAGTGAAATTTCTATTCTCATTTCGGCAGATCCCCTCTCGAGTAACTGTAGCGGGATTTGCCGAAAAACGATCGACAAACGACGTTCGTCCTTTCCCAGTCTCTAATCTAGCGGGCCAGCCAACCGGCGGGTTGATTCGCCTCGCGGTAGATTTATTCCTAGGTTAAAAGAACTATCGGATCCAAGGTAGGTACATCCGTGGAATTTCACGTGGAATTTCGATGAACGCGATTGATCGCGCGTGACCTCCGAGCAACTTGGTGTCTAGCCGTTCCGGATCGTTGAATCGTTTCGAACACGTTCTCTCGCGAGAAGAGACACGCGTTGTCCCGTCGTGTGGAAAAAGCTCGTCCGTTCGTCTTATCGATGAGAGAAACGGGAACGGAAAGAGCAAGCGGTCCGTTATGATTTGAAACCAGTGTATGGTGTGTAGAATGGTCGGACAAACTTGCCGCGGTGTGAAATCGTGATTCCGCCGGGACAATGAGCCATACCGATCCTTTATTTTCTCCTACGATCCGTCGAATTCGTTTCGTTCGGAAAACGCTCGTGCTATTCAAACGGCTCGGCTCTCGACAACGATTACGCCGAAAAGAGGAAAAAGAAAGGAGGAGGTCGATGACAGAGAGATGACTGAAATGAAAAATCGAAAAAGAAGAAGAAGGGAAGAGGGAAAAAATGTAGAGGAAGAAATAAAAATACGAGGAAAGAAAAAAGCGCGTGGATGAACCGGGCGCATCGACCAGGAATCCCTTTGACGCCACAAAAGCTTCGAGCCGGCGGCGTCGGATCGAAAGTAGATCGACGAATCCTGCCCGTGTAATCTTTATCGATACAAGGCACGATTTTTCCACTCTCCCCTCTCCTCGCTGCGTTTCGTTTCGTTTCGTTTCGTTTCGTTTTGATAACGCGTCGGATTTGCGTTGATCCGCTCCCTCCCTCCCTCGCCCCTTCGGTTCTGCTGCATCGTTCGTTACTCTCTCCTTCTCTCTCACCGGCTGCCTACCCTTCGATGAACAGCTTAATCGTATTTCACGGTAGATCACCCCCGCCTATTCTTTTTGCGCCATTTTTTTCACACCGATTCGCCGGCTGTTATCGTCGCGGACAGGCACACACGTTCGCAGCGCGAAAACGCAGCCGGCTCGATCACCCGTTAAATCCGCGGCTCTATTGGAATTTCTCTTTTTCCCTTTGGTTCGCGACTTTCTTTCCTCCCCTAGCCAGAGCTCGGAGAACGAAGGGCGGGATCGCTTGAAGGATATCTGGCCGTGTTCGCGGTCGCCTCGTTTACCTCTGGGTTCCTCCTGTTTGCCCTGTAAACCACGCCGTTTACCCTTATCTTTCCACCTGTTCACGGGCAAGCGTCGTTTCTTTGTGTCTGGCAGACGATACGGGGGAAAAATGAACGGGAGTCGTTCAACGGAAGGAGCATTTCATCTCGCCCTGATAGATATAGTGTCTCGTTTTAACGAGCGACGTGATCGATATATTATGTACGCGGCTTCTCCGCCGCGGCGATGCCGAGGTACCCTCGAGTGATTAATAGGCGGGGTGGGGAATAAAAAAAAGGTACGTGCAGGGGGGAAAACAGGCCATTACGCAGGCGGGTCGCTCGTAAAAGTTAATTGAACACCGTTCCTGGATTCGCAAAAAGTATCGAGCTTCGGTCGTCTGCGGTCGCATCGAACCAACTATTAGTGGAGGGGGAGAGGAAGGAA